ACTAGGGACCCTAGCGACAGTATAGGACAGAGTAGAACTGCCCCCATAGGATTTCCAAGGAGCGGCTGGGGGATTCAAACTGCCAACCTTTTGGTTAGCAGCTGAGCTCTTAACCACTGTGCCAGCAGGGCTCCATTGGATGCACAGGAAGACATATATTGACTCAGTAGTAGGAACCTTCTGAGCATCAGAGAGGCTCTGAGATGGTTTGGGTTGCCTTATGAGGTAGTGAGCTCCCTGTCTCTCAGGGTGTGCCCAGGCTGTCCAACCACTTGACTGAAGTTTACAAAGGAGACTCATACACCAGAGGTTCTTCGAGTTCCCTTCTGGCCTTGACATGCTGTGACTAGCGGCTTACTCCACTAGGTCAAGGACAAACAGCATTTCCCCAGGGGCCATGCAAAAAAGCTCATTAGCTCTGTGCATTTCTTCCAAGCCCCAGACCCGCCTGCTCCCCACTCCCACCCACCCTGGCTCCCCTTTCCAGGAGTCTCCTGAGAAAGCCACTCCAACATCTCAACCCTATCCCTGTCTCAGACTCAAAGTCATCAGAGGACACCGAGGTGGCGGGTCTCTCTCTCCCAAAGGTCCATGGGGTGAGAACGCAGGAAGAAAAGCAAAGCTCGCACCTTAGGGAGACCGTCTCAGCTGGGAAAGCCGTGAGCTATTTCAACCTGGTCAAGTCAAAAACAATTTGGCCTCTTCTGGAACCCAAGATATCTGTGATGTTTGAAATAAAGAACTTCCAGGTAACCTTGGCATGACTTCTGGAACATCTCTCAAACAGTATAGTAGGGAGAGGAGGGACGGCGGGTCACCACGGGCAGCAGCCTAGGATGGGCAGGAGACCTCTGGTCTGGAGTGAGGCACTCCCTCTTTCCATGCTGTCCCGTGAGCATGCTGGGAGAGGTGAGAATGGAAAAACTTAGCTCTGCCCCTGAGCCTCCACGGCCTCCTCACCCAGCTTCTCGTCTGAGACGCCAGCGTCTCCGCTCCACTGTCACCTAAACAGCTGCCACACTTCCTCACCCCAAAAGACCTGTCTGCCTTTGAACTCCCTGAACCCCTTTCATCGGAGCCTGATCAAAGTGCCTTGCTGAGACCAATTAATGCCTAGCTGTGGCCTGAGATGACACTGACGCTTTCAGGGGTGGTAGAGGACATCCCAGCACCCCACTGAGTCAGGGACAGCCTGGTTTGGCCACCTGGGCAGGTTGTTGAATCATACCCAGACAGGGCTGCTTCTCCGGCAGGTGCACCAATTCTGAGACCGCCTCCAAGCCACAGTGGAGCGTGGTGTGGTCAGCAGGCACGTGCAGGCAGGTAGGGCATGGAGTCCAGCCAGGATCCTGGGGCAGGTGCATTCCAAGGTGAAGCCCAACCATAGGATTTCTACAGGCTGGACCAGCTCAGCCTGATAGCCAAGGGCCGGAAGGCCCAAGGGTCAGAGGAAAGGGGGCTGGGAAGTCCTCAGGAGCTGCTATGTGCCTTTATACATGAAACAACGTGAAAATACGATATAAATGAATCAGGTTCGCATACAACAAAGCCCGTTGCTTGGGTGCTTTTTATTTTTTGCAAGCTTCTAACATTCTTTCATCTACAAAGACAAAGCACTAGGTGACACTTCCTACTTGTCTCTAGGTTTCCCCAGCACAGCTCTTAGTCACCCCTGAGCTGATTCAGTGGCTTGGAGTGGGGTACAGAGCTCATTGCACCTCTGAACATGGGGTGGGGCGGAGAACTGAAGCCATCCTTAGCAGAAATCCCTGCCCACCCAAAGCTACAACCTCTAGCAGCAAAATAGTCTGGTCATTCCAGAGCCTGATCCCCATTAGAGTCCTCACAAGAGCACAGGCTTTTCCTCGTCTTTGTCTCCAGGTCCCACCCCCACTCTGCAAGCTGGGCTCACGGTCTCCCGCTGGCTCCTGTGTCCTGCCATCCAACTCCACCGGCCCCCATTTAAAGCCAAGGGCCTTTCCCCTGTAAGTAGCCCCACTTCCTGTCCTGAGTGAGAGGGGTGGAGGATAAAAGATGTCCGTGTGGCCACTGAGTCCACACCACCTCCCTGCCGGGTTCTGAGGACTGTCCCACCGCTAGGAACTAAGTTCCTATGACAGTCAGACCAGCCCTGGAGCCCGTGGGAGCCTGCGCAAGCTTTTTCAGGAATCCTGAGAGAAGATACAGATCTCCCCCCATTTTTCCTCTTATGAGTGGGATGGGGTGAGCATGGTGGTCCAGTTCTGAGATGGAGACCCCCTGAGGGGCAGGGTGGGGGAAGTGGGCAACACAAGCACAGCCACCCTGGGGCCGAGCTCAGATTCTCTCCCAAACTGTCTTCACCTGCTCAGAAGTGGCTATTGTTGTAGGGGAAAACATCACAAAGTCTAGTAAAGCAAAAAGAAAGTTTTATTTGGCATATATTCAAAAAGGCAAAAGTGGGAAATGGACAAGTATGCTGCGAGAGCCATGTCTGCCCAAGTCCAAAGAATATCACAGAACAGACAAAAGTGGGAAAACAGACAAGCATGCTGCCACAGCCAGGTTTGCCTGAGTCCAAAGAATATTGCAGAATAGTCAAGCATGGGAAAACAGACAAGCATGCTACCACAGCCATGTCTGTCTGAGTCCAGAGACCATTACAGAATCATCAGTATGTATTAACATTACAAATGGGCAAAACCATTGAACGCTTCACCTTTTCACAGATTGGCTAGAAAATGTGACCTACATTTTGTATCGTCTTTCTTAACAATCATTGGTACAGGTTTCAGTAATGACAGCCAGGAGGGTCTTCATTGGTCCAACAAATTTCTATTCACTAAATGCTAATAGAAAAAGACAAGAGTGGAAAGTCTTTTATGTTCTGTTTGATTGGCTTTATGTGAAAATTTCCCTAAGAGATATTTTCCAGGATTATCTTAGCTGTTGTCTTTACATCTCAGGGCCCAGTTGATGTGTCCTTGTGAGCCCTTGTGAGCCCAGCTCCAGCTGGGTCACATTCTGTATGCTCAGGGACAGGGAATAATGACTCCAATATTATTTCTTAAACCACTGTATGCTCCCTTCTTGGAAGCCAGATCTTTATGTAACCTATAACTGCCCCGTGTAGGGGCCTTGTCGGAATGATCTCACTTTTAGGGCTTGGGAGCTGCCAGGGCCCACCAAAAAAAAAAAAAACAACCTGTTGCCATTGAGTCGTTTCTGACTCACAGTGACCTTATGCCAGGCACCACAAGATGTGCATTTTCACCAGTAGCTGTCAGTTCTGGCCAAATGCTTTCAACTCGTGACCTTGGCCCATTTTTCTCTACATGGGCTCGGAAGTTAGGAGTGGACATGGAACCCCCTTTCTCCTTGACCTGTTCCAGGAAGCCCATTCCTCCCAGCCCTGAGATGGATGACTTGGTGTGGACCTGGGCAAACTCCAGGCCCAAGGCTCTTTCTGGCTTTCCTTGGGAAGAGGGTCCCTGAAAAACGTAGGGCTCACTCCTTGGCCGCTACAGACCTTAACTGAGCAATAGGTGAGCCAGTGTGCCAGCTGCAGAGGGTGCCAGAGTCCTCTCCTGTCCTGGGTGGGGAACCTGTTTTCCAGGTACGAAGACCCCTAGGGAGGAAGGTATCAGGTTCCTTAGGTAGCAGGCTTGCTGTGAGGGATGCTGAGCAGGGAAGGTGAGAAACGTCTTCCCCAGGCAGCTGGTGGGGCTGCCTACCTGGGTGGGGCAACTGTCCTCATTGGTGGGGAAGGTAGACATGGCGCCTTGGGAAGGTGCAGCTGTCCTGAGGAGGAGGAAGCAGCTTGCTGACTCTCCCTGGGCCTTATGAAAAGTGGACTCTTGCCCGAGGCCCTTGTAACCTGGCGTTGTAAACACCCAGGACGCGCCCAGCAGCTGTCCTCTGCCTCCGCAGGACCCATCAAGGGACACAGACGGGGCTCTGGACTTGAGAAGTGGAACACCAAGGTGGGGGTGGGGAGGTGGGAGGCAGGACGTGCATGGAGCCAGTGATGACAGCTGGGCGAAGCCCTTTCCGCCCCCGGCACACAAAAACAGGGAATTGGCTCCATTCCTGGAAGCCATTACTGCAGCCTGAAATGGAATCCTGACAATCAGGCTCTTTCAAAGAGGCCGACACTATTCTGAAGGTATGAGAAGTCTGGTGGGGAACAGCTGGGGAGGGGCAGCAAGAGCAGGCGAAACTTCCATGAGGGCAGAAGCAGGCCTACCGTAGTCGCTAAGTGCCTTAAACTGCACCTGGCACATGGTAGGCCCTTGGCAAGTATTTGAATGAATAATGCGTAGCTTGGGGCAAAGGGCGGAAAACTAAAATAGATGAAACTGGCAAGTGAGGTGGACTAAGGGGATCCCGGCTGCCTGAGTGAGAGGTGTTTAGGTGAAGGGACTGGGCTGGCAGGGTGAGGAGCACTGGGCGTGCCCCAGTGAGGGAATGGGCACTTGCCTATGTTAAGGTGCTAACTGGAGTTGAAAGGGCTCTGGCTGGAGAAGGCTGAAACGGGAGAAGTGAGCCCAGGTTCAAACATCAGCCGTCCACAGATGTGGTCTGAGTCACGGGCAGGCATGAGCAGGCTAAGAGCTCAGCCTCAGGCCCCGCCCTGGAACCTCCTTCCCCAGCTCCACTCAGCCTAGCCCTTGTCCCAACCCCTCCCTGAGAGAGCATCTTTAGCTCCCTGCCTCAGTGCCCTGAAATGCCTCTCAACTGGGCACAGGGCAGGGGCAGAGACAAGACTGTGCTGGAAATGGACTTGATGACAGCATCCCAGGCAATCAGAAAAAGGCCAAGAAACACTAGGGCCAAAGGGCCACCTGGCTTACGAGGGACGATCGTGAGAAAGATCCCACCACAAGTGAGCCCTGGCACCATCCCCTTCCCCTGAGCATCACAGTGCCTGCCACCCTGGTCTCCCTAACCTATTTCCCTCCACATTCAGTACCCGGTAGCAGCCGCATCCCCACAAGAAAGCTGAGCAATTCCTTAGAGACAAAGAATAGATTTAATCTGTAACTATGAAATGTCTAGGCTAGCAGCAAATAAAGACACCAGGAGACTGGGCAGAATCTGTCCTCCGAAGGCGCCCCTCAGGACACAGAGGCCTCCTCAGGACACAGAAGCCCCCTCAGTTCACAGAGGTGACTGGCAGGATATTAGCTTTTCGCTCAGCTTCAATGCAGTACTTCTCAGGAAGGCCGGTGGCTCTGCAGGGGAAACAGGGCAGGTATGAGGGGCGGTGTCAGACCAGAGAGGAGGCAGCTCCCGCAGTGCACCCGCCCCCGCAAACACATTCTCGTCAAGGCCCCAGTATCCCACCAAGGAGCTCTGGGAGAGCCAGGAAGAGCTGGAGGTGCGGTCCCGGGACTTCCTGCTGGGGCCCCTCAGTGGGCAGCAGCCTGTGTGGGCCCCGAGACACGAGAAGGGCCGTCCCTGAACACGTCACAGTCCCCTCGCTCTCCAGCCTGCAGTGCCCTCTCTAGGGGAAGGGAAGATGAGCTGGGGGGCGGAGGGGTTCCCACACACCTCAGCTCTTCAAGCTTTTTCCTCTTGATGTCATCAATGCGCTCACGCCGCCTCTGGGCCTCCTCTTTGAGGCGCCGGCCCTCCTCAAAGGTAGCGATCCGGTCCTGCACCTGCTTCTGCTGGTTCTCACGCACCTGGCGCCTTAGCTCATTGGCGTGCTGCAGGCGTCCTGTGGCCTTCTTCTCCTGCTCCAGCCGCTCCTTCTCTATCTGTTCTCTCTGGGCCCTGGGAGAGGAGCGCAGGGAATCAGACAGGCTGAGGCGTCTCCAGTGGATGTGCTTCAGAGACCACAGCCCACCATGTGGTCTCTTCTACGGCTCAGAGATCAGGCCCCAAGCTGTCTGCCCTTCTTGCCTGCCACCACGCAGGCTCCCCTGCCCACCCAGCCGGCCCGGCCTCATGGGCATGTGACCCATACAGTCACGCAGGGCTCCATGCTTACAAAGATCCACTCTTGGTTTAATGCACCACTGCTACCATTTTGAAATTCTTAATAATTTGTGAGCACGTTTTCATGCACTGGGTCTTGCAAATGATATAGCTGGTCCTGCCCCCAGAGTTCACCAACTGGGGGCTATCGCTTCTACCTGCCTTCTCTCTTATAACAATGCATAACTTCTCTCTGGTTGTTCTAAGATTTGTTCTTTTCTTTCTTCTTTTCTCTTTCCCTCTTTCTCTCCTTCTCTCTTCGCTAACAATAATAACATTAACAAAAACAACCAAGGGGCTACTGTACAGCTAAAAGAAGCGGTAAAGTCTATAATGCTTGATTGCTGGAAGAAGGATGGAGGAGCATAGCAGCCTGCTATCTCTTAGTTCTCTTGTTGACCCATCTCCCATAGTGGAAGAGGCTGCATAGGCCCGGCTCACTATTACTTACTCCCCATTGCTAACTGCCACATTGTCTCATGATCTTGTTTCTCCAGTCTCTACAAAAGGTTTAGGATTAACTGATGTTCCTCCTTGGAGGGTGGAAAACTAGTGATAATCATCTAAGGATGAAAACTGAACAAAACACCCATCTTGGGACAAGAAAAACCGGGATGTCACCAGATAATCCCCAAAAACGTCTCCAGGTAACCCCCAAGAATACCAGTAGAAGATTAACTCATCTAAGACATGACCACCTCAAGGGGAAACTAACACAAACTTCTAAGACCCATAATCCAGCACCTATAAAAGCCTTCAGCCGATCTCCAGTGGGAGAGACGGGTTTTTTGGAGGAATCTATTCCCCTCTGTCTCCTATATATCAATATATAATAAACCTCTTGCTGCTCACCTCACCCCTGTCTCAGAATTGGCTATTGTGGCAGGCGGCTCCTGTCTGTGTTATTGAGGTAACAATAGTTCCTCTTAGAAGCTTCTACCCCAAGAATACTTCATATACCCTGACACCAGGGAGAAAATCACTAGTGGCAACCAGATAGGCTCAGAAACTTCAGATAAAATATATTCAACTCTCAGAGGAAATGCAGTGGTAGGCCATCGTGAGCTAATATCTAATTTCTTTCTCAATGTAATAAAAAAAAAAAAAAGTAAAACCGTATTAGCCAGGGATCTGTCACCAGCCCTCCTCGCCTGAGGTCACTCAGCCCAACAAAGGTACTGAAAGCTCCGCTTCACTTACTCATATCCGTTGAGCATCTTCCCAGATCCACCATACTTGGGGTATTCTCTCAACCCCTAGCAGCTCTGTTCCATCAGTCAAACACCTCCTAAAATGCTATGCCTTCTGTTATGGATTGAATTGTGTCCCCAAAACTGTGTGTCAACTTGGCTAGGCCATGATTCCCAGTATTGTGTGGTTGTCCTCCATTTTGTGATCTGATGTAATTTTCCTATGTGTTGTAAATCTTAACTTCTATGATGTTAATGAGGCAGGATTAGAGGCAGTTATGTTAATGAGGCAGGACACAGTCTACAGGATTATATTATATCTTGAGTCAGTCTCTTTTGAGATATACAAGCGAGAAGCGAGCAGAGAGGAGAGGGATCTCATTACCACCAAACATGAAGAGCCAGGAGCACGTGGCCTTTGGACCTGGGGTCCCTGTGCTGAGAAGTTCCTAGACAAGGGGAAGACTGATGACAAGGACCTGCCCCCAGAGCTGACAGAGAGAAAGAGCCTTCCCCTAGAGCCGGCACCCTGATTTTGGACTTCTAGCCTCCTAAACTGTAAGAGAATAAATTTCTGTTAGCCAAAACCATCCACTTGTGGTATTTCTGTTACAGCAGCACTAGATAACTAAGACACCTTCTACAGAGCCTTCCCAGTTTATGAGACGACAACCACTGGCCTCCTTGCCCCTCTGTATTTAGACACCAAATCTCCACTGCTGAGACACATCTATGATACATCAAGACTCTCCTCTTGGCATTGATACTGTTTTTCTATGTGTACAGCAGTTGTTTATTGCTTCACATTCTTCTGGGAGGAGAGGTAAGTGTGGAAACAGGGTGCCTGTATGTGTCACGAGAGAGCCACTGGGGTGGTAAAAACCAACAAATAAAAAACAGACCATTTGCCATCAAGTTGTTTCCAACTTATGATGACCCCATGTGTGCAGAGTAGAACTGTCTTCCATAGGGTTTTCAAGGCTGTGATCTTTCAGAAGCAGATCGTCAGGTCTTTCTTCTGAGGTGCCTTTAGGTGGGTTTGAACCACCAACCTTTCAGTTAGTAGTTGAGTGCTTAACTGTTCGCACCACCCCAGGATTCCAAATAGAGGTGATGGGCAGTTGAAAATCCAAATGGGGAAGAAGCCTGGTCATTCCATGAGATTAGGGCAGTGATTATGGAACCTGCCAGGCTGCATGTTAGAATCACCCAGAAGTTTTAAAAAAATATTGATGCCTGGACTTCACCCCAGACCAATTAAAATCTGTGGAGGTGGAGCCTGAGCATCAGTAATTTTTGTTGTTGTTGTTGTTTTACAGCCCCCAGGTAGTTCTAAGAACCACTGGGTAAGGTAGGTCAGCTATTTCTGCTTATTCCACGGGCTGAGATTTAAAGGCATACCTCTTTGCAGAAGCAGAAGTCCATATATAGGCTGTACAAGAGAGCATGATTTTGAAGGAGGGAAAGTTGGATTGCTGGCCGTGGCAGATGCTCCAAAAGTGAAGACACCCACCATGGTAGTCACGTGGCCCTGGAGACACTAGGTCTAGATGCTAACCTAGAACAACAGGTGAAGCTGAACTTCTCCAAAGGGCTAGTCTAGCTTTAATAACTGGCTAGAGCAAACAAAGCAGAGACAAATGGGTCAGTGGCAAAAGTAGGACTTTAGTTCCATTCCAATCGCATCTGTTAGTGCCTGCTAAAGGCAACACCTGCTGCTCCTTGGAAACCCTATGGGGCAGTTCTACACTGTCCTCAAGGGTTGCTCATGAGTCAGAACCGACTCGACGGCAATGGATTTGGTTGATTTAATGGCAACACAGATGTCCAAGGGCATAGAGGCCAGGGAGGGGAGGGTAGACATCTGAAAGGCAGTCTGAGCTCAGGGGCAGAATACTTGAGGCCATTTAGGAAGTTGTCTTCTTCAGCAGATGTCCAGAGACCACAGCATGACCCTTGAAGGCAGGGCAAGTTACAGAGCCTAAGGGCACCACAGCCAGTGGGAACAGGGTAGAGTCCCACAGTCCAATAAATGACCAGGAATCTGGTTCTGGAATGGACTGAGATTCCTATAGTTCTGTTCTGCCTCTGGCTGGGGTCTGGGTAGCCTGAGACTGATTGTGGCAGTACCAAGAAGAAGAACCTACAGCACATACACCAAGAAAGCTGAGTCACACCATCCAATCTTTAGTTAGCTGAGCAAAATTTCTCTGCTTTTATATCCACCCCCACCCCCACCCCCCAATTTAAATTCTGTTTGGTTTGTTTCTTTTTGACAAATTCTGATCTTACAGAGTCTGAACCTAAGCAAAAAGGGAGTCATTTCCAGTTAGGCCAGAACAGTTAGTGCCAGGAGATCAAGCTCCCCAGGAGCCAGGTCTGATGGTGGCAGATCTGCTGGTAGAAAGTAGACCAGAGAGGGAAACCAGTGGCAGCTGTGATTTACCTAGAGGGAAGAGGAGTGTTGGGGAGGAGAGGCCAATGAGCAATATAAACTCTCAGCTTCCACTTATGTGTTGGAATTACCATTGACCAAAAAGAGAGAACAAAAATGAAAGGATAAAGAGCTGGAAAGGCAGGAAAGATGTATAAACATAGGTAAGGTCCATCTAAATGTGAGTCTTTAACATCCTTCCTACACAAATGGACAAGGGCAGTGCTTTATTCATCTCTATTATCTTCCACAGTATCTGTCTTAGTCACTTAGTGCTGCTCTAACAGAAATACCACAAGTGGACGGCTTTAACAAAGAGAAGTTTATTCTCTCACAGTCCAGTAGGCTACAAGTCCAAATTCAGGGTATCAGCTCCAGGGGAAGGCTTTCCCTGTTGGCTCTGGAGGAAGGTCCATGTCATCAATCTTCCCTTGGTCTGGGAGCTTCTCTGCACAGGAACCTCAGGTCCAAAGGACGCGCTCTGCTCCCGGCACTCGGTGGTATGAGGTTCCCATGTCTCTCTGTTCACTTATCTCTTTATATCTCAAAAGAGATTGGCTGAAGACACTACCTAATCTTGCAGACCTCATCAGTATAACTGCCGCTAATCCATTTTATTACATCATAGCGATAGAGTTTACAGCACAAACAGAAATCACATCAGATTCCAAAATGGTACACAATCATACAATACTAGGAATCATGGCCCAGCCAAATTGATACACACATTTTTGGGGGGACACAATTCAGTCCATGACAGTATCCAACACAGAGCCTTGAATTTATGTGCATTAATAATATATATTTGTCAAATGAATAGCAAAGAATTCTCTCGAAGTCCTGCTCCAATGACTAACAGCCCTTAGTATCTGAAGCTCTTTTCTCTATCTCTCCTAAACCTCGCCTGCTACAGATTTACTCCTAACTTGCAGGAGAGGGGGTGGCAGGAAGGACCATATTTACACCTTTATTTACACCTTTACTGCCCCAGGGTAACTAATTCCAGCAATCCCCCATTCCTTTAACACTTCCAGCTGCTATTTTCCAATTCTCGGAATCATAAAATTCTTGGCTCAAGTGGCTTTGAAATATTTCAACCATTCATCTGGTTGGAATGTTCCCACCAACCCAGACCAGATGTATGAGGATCTATCTGCCTGTTAACAGGCTAGAATGCTCTTGTCTGACCAATATGGACCATCCCTGCTGCAGTCCAAGGAAAGGAAGCCAAGGTTCCCAGGCCCCTCCTACCGAAGAATCCTCTCGAATTCATCCCGGTCCCGTTGCACCTGAACAGCCAGAGCGTGCTCCTTGAAAGCCACCTGTTCCAGCCGGCTCTTCCTCAGCATGGCCTCTGTTTCCATCTTCTTCTGGGCGTTTTCCTTTTCCTTTCTGCGCCATTCTCTGTCGGCAACCTCCTGGTTGCGCTTGGCCCGCAAGGCATCCTGGGAAAGGAGAGAGTGGGGAAGAAAGGGACCAGTGAGGGTGCAAAGTAACCTCAGGGACCTACCAGGTGCCTTTAGGAAGACACCTACTTGCAGGCTCTGACAGCCTGCCTTGAGAGGCACCATGGATTTCTCAGGCAGCAAATTATTCTAGGAAAAAAAAAAAAAAAAAAAGAATGGAATCCTGTCATAGAACTTTCAGGTCAGAGGATACCCTGAGGGACGCCATATCCTTCCACCTCACTCATCCCAATTCTTTCCTGGTACCTCAAACACGTCCGGACAGCCCAGCAATTGCTTCTAATTTTAAAAACTGCTTATGACCGAGATACTACAGTTTCCTCTGGTGACACATTTCAGTGGTTAAGGTTGAAAGTTCTTTACATAGCATCCAAAGACTTTCTCTTGAACCTTAAGCACATCATGCACTGCTCAATCCTTGCTGCCCGAGACAATGGGAGCAGGCTACTCCATGGACCTTGGACTGTCTAATTCTAGATAACTTGCATCCTCTAGTCTATACCTTGCCTTCCTGAAGGTCATTGTACAGGCTGTCAAAGGAATAGCTAGGAGGGTGGGAGAGGAGTAGGAAGCGGAGATTAAGTAGGTACCTGTTCTGCCTGGTAATCCTGGGCCTTCTCCTGCAGGGCCCTCAAGCGGGCGATCTCCTTCTCTTTCTCCCTCCGGATCCTCTCCTGCTCAGCCTCAAACTCTGCTTCTCGAGCCTGCCAGGGAAAAAAGGCCTTGTAGCTAAAAGGACAGCTCCCTTTAACCCAGTCTTGCAATGCGTCCCTGGGTGGCACAAATGATTAGGGACTCAACTACTAGCTGAAAAGTTGGAGGTTCGAACCTACCTAGAGGTACCTTGGAAGACAGGCCTGGCGATCTGCTTCCAAAAGGTCACAGCCTTGAAAACCCTGTGGAGCAGTTCTACTCTGTACACACGCGGTTGCCATGAGTCAGAATCGACTGGACAGCAGCTAACAGCCACCTCAGTCTTGTAGAGAGAAACAAAGTCCCTACAAAGATCTGTCCAATATCTCCCCTACCACTGCCTGGCTCCGTTTAAAATAGTAGGGCAAAAATGAACATAGCAATACCTGAACAACCAACAGCTAACATTTACAAAATGCTTTGTTGTTTACAGAGTGCTTTCACATGTATTATCTGAGAGGTCCCTCACAACATCTCACAAGACAGATGGTAGAGATGAGGAAACTGTTTTGTTCAGAGTTACTCTCTTGCCCAAGATTGCATAGCTAGTAAACCACCAATCAGAATTTGAATACAGGTGTCCTGAGTCCAAATTTCATGCTCCTTCACTATATCCCTAAAGACAAGCTCAAGTTGCAAGGCCACTGGGCCAAGTTTCTAAAAGAAACAGTTGTGGTTCCCTGCCTGTCTTGTAAAGCGCAGTAGGTGGAAGTTATCTCATTAGTCCCTGGGCAAAGGGCCATACATGCTTTGGGTGGTCCCCCAGTGTTTAGCAGATACCTGGGAAGTAAACCATCAAAATTAACTCCCTTTACCACTTCTCTCCACCACCCGTCTGTCAGTCTGTCATACTCTGGTGGCTTGTGTGTTGCTGTGATGCTGGAAGCTGGGCCAACTGTATTTCAAATACCATCAGGGTCACCCATGGTGGACAGGTTTCAGCGAAGCTTCCAAGCTGAGACAGACTAGGAGGAAAAGCCTGGTGATCTACTTCTGAAAATTAACCAATGAAAACCGTATGGATCACAACAGAATATTGTCCAGTATAGTGCTAGAAGATGAGTGCCCTAGGTTGGAAGGTACTCAAAATACGCAGTGGCCACAGCAATGGACTCAAGCACACCAACGATCATGAAGATGGCACAAGGCTGGGTAAAATTTCATTCTGTTGTACATGAGGTCGCCATGAGTCAAAGCTGACTCAACAGAAACTAACAAGAACCATTTGTCTAAAATAAAAGGCGTATCCCTACCAACTTCCCAACCCAGCTTCCCAGCTACCATTCTTGAGTAGTCATGACTAATGGGGCAGGATGGGTGGAAAGAGATTTTCCCATACAGAACATTCCTTAGCCACTTGTTCTACCTGCCCAGACTCTGAGCAACCCAATGAGTTGCCTGATTATGAGCTGTGCACAGCTGTGTGTCAAGCTGCTCCCTCTGTTCCACCTTGCCCTGGATAGCAGGGCAGCGAGCTCTGGATGCTCCCACAACCAATCTCTGCCTGTACCTCTGAAAAGGAAGCCCTGGCTGCAAGAACAAAGACCACCATAAGGTTGGGGAAGGACCTGGGATACACTTGGATACTTATAGTGGGTGTAGGCATGCCCAAGTTCCTGATCCCTTTGCAGTCTTTAGCCTCTCCCAGCTCCACCCTGCCAACATCCTTCCATGTATGAAGACAAGCCCTTCCTCTCCTGCTCAGAAATCTCTGGTGATTTTTCATCATCACCCCAGCTCTGCCCAAGGTTCAAGGCATCCCCAACAACCGCTCTCAGCTCTCCATCATCTCACCACCCTCTTCCCTTGTTGTGCCCACCACAGACTCTCTGCTGTAGTCGGCAAACCTGTTCACTAACTCCTGCATGTAATTAGCTTATTATCGGAGCCCTGGGGCAGTTCTACTCTGTCTTGTAGGGTCCCTGTGAGTCGGAATCAACTTGACGGCAACGAGTTTTTTTTTGTTTTGTTTTGTTTTAACCTATTCGTGGAAACAGTTACTGAGTTCCATATGATGTACACAGCATTATTCTAGGCACTCTTTGAGGCTAGTCTGATACTGGACACACACTGAAGCAGTCAATACATTTTTAATCAATTAATGATGACTTTATATGGTTGTTGTAAGGATTAAATGAGATAATATATGTAAAGCACATAGCACAGAGCCTATACACAGACTAAGTGCTCAATAAATGTTAGCTATAGCATTGTTATTATATATGAACCATCTGTGTCCCCAGTCTTGCCTTCTCATTCTATTGCCTGCATATCCCTGGCATCCAATAAGAAAGCCAAAACCATAGCCAATAAATCAACTTTTTGAGCTTTGTTTTCTCTGGTTTGCATTTGGAATGAACAGATATATCAAATATACCCACACCCTCTCCCTTCCCTTCACCAAAAATCACTACTATACCAAACTCATTGCGTTGAGTCAATTCCGACTCATAGCGACCCTATAGGACAGAGTAGAACTGCCCCATAGGGTTTCCAAGGAGCGGCTGGTGGATTCAAACTGCCCAGCTTTTGATTAGCAGCTGAGCTCCTAGCACTGTGCCACCAGGGCTCCGATCACCACTATAGAGGAGCACAAAGAAGGTGCAGTGGTTTCTGTCATCATGGAACTTGGAAACTAGCAGACGGGACAGGATCGACACATGAAGCGTTCCATAACTTTCCTGCCACCTTGGGTGCTTCCTCTTCTCTTTATATAAATCCACGCTCACTCCATCTAAACCATGCTGAAAACCTAAAACCTTTTACCTCGCATTCCCCACAGACCCCAATCATTTCACTACTTAATCTTGCCCTAGAATGAGTCCACACATTCATGAGCTACAACCATCTGTGATTGTTTGTGGATCTTGCTCTTCTCTACGGTGCATTCGTCCCTATAGGTCTGTCATGGATTGAATTGTGTCCCCCAAAAGTGTCTGTTGGCTTGACTGGGTCATGATTCCCAGTACTGTATGATTGTGTAATCTGATGTGATTTCCTTATGTATTATAAACTCTATCACTATGATGAGGTTATATGTGATCTCCTTATGTGTTATAAACTCTATCACTATGATGAGGTTATACTGATGACGTCTACAAGATTAGTGTCTTAATCCAATCTCTTTTGAGATATAAAAGAGAGAAGTGAGCAGAGACACATGGGAGCCTCATACTATCAAGAAAGCAGTGCTGGGAGCAGAGTGCATCCTTTGGACCTGAGGTTCCTGCGCTGAGAAGCTCCCAGACCAAGGAAAGACTGATGACAAGGACCTTCCTCCGCAGCTGACAGAGACAGAAGGCTTTTTCCTGGAGCTGATGCCCTGAATTTGGACTTGTAGCCTACTAGACTGTGAGAGAATGAATTTCTCTTTGTTAAAGCAATTCACTTGTGGTATTTCTGTTAGAGAAGCACTAGATGACTGAGACAAGGTCCTATAGGGCAGGATGGCAGGAGGATCTATTTTCTGAGTCTAGCACCCAATACAGGAAGTCCGATATGGAAGTTTTTGCAAGAAATTCAGAGGGCAGCTGACTCATGATTACTGGGGATATAATTATCCAGGTTATGAGGAATCCACGAAAAATTTACTTCCACCAATACTTTTAATTTTCTTCCCTGCCTGCACATGACCCTCCTCCTAACTTCCAGTGTTAACTGTGTTAACATAGATAACAACACTCTAATTTGGGTGTCCTTTCTAGGCTAGGAACCCTGGTGGCATAATGGCTAAGAGCTCAGCGGCCAACCAAAAGATTGGCGGTTCCAATCTGCCAGCCACTCCTTGGAAACCCTATGGGGCAGTTTTACTCTGTCCTATAGGATCGCTATGAGTCAGAATCGACTTGATGGCAACGGGCTTGTTTTTGGTTCTAGGCTAAGAGCCCTGGTAGTGCAGTGGTTAAAGCGTTCAGCTGCTAACCAAAAGGTCAGCAGTTTGAACCCACCAGCCGCTCTGCGGTGGAAAGATGAGGCAGTCTGCTTCTGTGAAGATTACAGCCTTGGAAACCCTATGGGGCAGTTCTACGCTGTCCTATAGGGTCTCTATAAGTCAGAATCAACTCAATGGCAGTGGGTTTTCTAGGCTACTGTCTACTAATGAGCAAGTGGACTGGCCAAAACGAAGAGAAAAAGAGGGCAAGGGGCCTGAATTTTAGAATGAGGAGATGGCTGCCTTCCATTGGAGCTCCCTTAGTTCTCAGGCCTGCCTCTTCCTGAGGCAGACAGACAGACATTCCATGCCATTCAGAAGTCCCAAGGCATCAGAAACCAGGTCGCTACCATCTTCTTCTTGGTGAACTCCATCACCATCTGGTCTGCCAATTTCTCCTGAGCCAGCAACTCGGCTTTCTGTTTCTGGTTTTCATCATTGATGCGCTTAATCTCTGCTTGCATCTTCAGTTTTTCTTGGTGTCTTCGTTCCATGTCCTGCCAGAAAAAAAAAAAAAAAAAAAGACATACTTAGGGTAGAAGGAAACAAGAAAAAAAGATACTGGGACAGAGAGACGCCAAATGAGGCTGAGAGATATGCACTGCCTGCAGTATGCCTTCTGTTATGACCCTTTGTGAAAGCTGTTCTTCCAAGAGTCATCAAGGACCTCTTCTAACCAAATGGCTTTTTTCCAGTCTTCATCCAACTTGACTTCTTGGCAGGAGCAGACACTGTTGACCTCTACATACTTTCAGGAAGTGGAGGCTCTTAAAATTCTACTCAGTGTCTCCTACCTGTCATGCTACATCCTATCCCTGTGGCTTTATTCATGCTACCTTCTTCCTCCCTTAAATTCCCTTCTATTTAAACCCAAACTTTGTCTCCATTCAATAGTGATGATGAAAATAATAAGTATTGCCCTAACTGAGTACTTTTTACTCACTGGGCCCTTTACATATACTATCTCTGATCCCTAAATACATATAAGAACCCTGGAAGGTAGGCTTTGTTATCTCTTTTGTACAGATGAGGAAACCAAGGCCTAGAGTTTTGATGTTGCACCCTTGTACGAGGAAACCGACAACCAGGGCCACACAGCTAATAAAGCCCAGAGCCAGAATTTTGAAACTTGGTCTATCTAACTTAAAGTTCCAACCTCCCCTGAAAAGTGATGACCCCAGCTTTCAGAGATTGCTCCACTTGCACTTGAGTTGGTGCCACACCACTTGAGATTGGATTATACACTGTCTTGTATGTGCTCACTCTGTCCCCACTGAAAGACAGGGACCATGTATCACACTTCCTCTCTTCCCCAACAGTGTGCAGACCAATGTGAGGAAAACAGCAAATATTCAATAAACTATTGCTAAATGAGGTAGGGAAGGGACTAAAGTGAATGGCATGGGCTAAAAAGGAAAAAAAATTCTTAGACTCAGAGAAACAAAAAGACAGATGGAGATCGGAGTACCAGTGTAACCCTGAGTGACAAGACCCCTCTTAAGCCCCTTGCCTTGCCCAGCCCTGAGACTTCAAAAGCTCACAATCATCAGACCACTTCTAAGCCCAATCATATTCTCAGGTCACAATGTGGAGGGACATTGAATCCTGTGTAGCTAGCCTCCCATCACCTCCATATCAAACTCCAGTTCTTCGCTTCAAACTTTTCTATCCATTAACTCACCCTACTCCCACACTGTTTCCAGCTGCCTCCATTTCTCTAAAGACTAAATCTCTGCCTGGCCTTCCAGCTCATCCTCAGCCCAGCTTTTCACCCTGATTCTTCAGGCAAGCAACTCTGCTGCATGTCTTCCTCTTGGTCAGGCTCTTCCTGGCTTGGCTCACTGCCCAATTCAGGACTCCTCTCTCCAGGAAGCCCTCCGAACTGGATCAGCACAGCAACTAGCTGCTTCTTAGCTGCGTGGATTGCAGAGCTTACCTTCCTCCTCAGGAGGAGGCAAGAAGGCAGTCTGTGGAGCATGAGCCAAGCTGTGAGCGTTCCACCTCTCACTACACTTAAACTTCTTTCTCATTCTGCTTCTCCCCTTTTGCCACTCGAACTCTCACACTCCGTTTGTTTCCCCTTCTCCCTTTCCTCCTTTCCTTTCTAAGTTCTTCCCACCAGAGCTTTAGGCCTACCATTGGTAACCCAGGCACTATTTAGTCCCACTGACTCTCAAAGCTAAACAAGCTGCTGAACTGTATGACACCATGTACAATGTACATGTACTTAGTGCTTTGCCTATTTATCGACTTGTTGGTTTGCTGTTTTTGTTGGTTCCTTTCATTTCCAAGAAACCAAAGGACTTTCCTTGGTTCTCATCTCTGAAGTCCTTCCATAACGACCCTAGATAAATTCCCTGCATTCTTCTCCATCTTGCTAACAAGGTGGGGAGGGGACAGAAAGCTGTCCTTGTACTGCCTGAGATGATAAGGCAAATCTAAAGCAGGGGAGGCACAGTTTCTACCTTAAAATTGCCTAATGATACTTCCTGGAGACTCAGGGAGTGCCTACTAGAGGGACATCAAAAAGTCAATGCCATAACTTGGATGTAATGGTGTTGACTCACTGGGATTTGGGACTTGCTGCTGGGAGTCTCAGTGAGCCTACCAATTCCCACTCCCCTCTGTCCAGCTGGATTTTCCAGTCTTTGTTTCTCACCCCTTTCCCTGCTTATTCGCCCCATACTTCTCCCTCCTTGTGCTCTCCCTCTCTTTCCTAAGCCAGGAGCCGAAGCAGCCTGGCCAGGCTTCTGTGTCTCCTTGGCCCTGCTGGTTCCCTTCTCAAGCAGTTCACAAGCTATGTGCCCCCTCGCCTTCCCTCACTATGCAGGTGATCCTCACCCCACTCCTCACGCAGCACCGCACATCACAGGTATGCTGAGAAGCACCGAAACCCTTCACGGCTCCTATGTAAATCACCACCATCAAACACACTGGCTGATGACAGACAACTCAATCATCCATAAAATGGAGCGGGGGGGGAATAAAAGAATACATGTTCCCCAAGGTAAATGGCACCATGAGGAAACAATCAGACAAATCCATAATGTGGCACATTCTTTAAGGCAATTAGCTGGACACTTCAAAAAAGTCAATGTTATTAAACATAAATAAATTGTGCGTGTGTGTTCATCTATATACATGTATATTTATGTATGTCTGTAAACTCTTCTAGATCAAGACAGACTGAAGAGACTTAACTAAATGCAGTGTGTGAACCTTGATTGCATCCTGGTTTGGAGAAAAGAAAGCAGCTGAAAATACGGTTGGGGGAAAACTGGGGAAATTTGAATGTGGATTGAATATTAAATGTTATTATAGAATCACTGGATTAGATCAGGGGGAGGGGTGACTAATGGCGCTGGCAACAGGTAAGAGAATGTCCTTGTCCTTAGGAGATGCAGGCTGAAACATTTAGTGGTTAAGTGTCAAGATGTCCACACTTGCTTTCCAATAGTTTCACACCAACATATCTATATGCATCTAGAAAGAGACAAGCAACCAAGGAAAATGGTTAACAATTATTAAATCTAGGCGAAGCGTTGACGGGTGTGGTACAATTCTTCCAACTTTTCTGTGTGTGTGAAAATTTTCCGAATAAAAAGTGGAAGGGAAAGAAAAATAAATGTTCCAAATGCCTGCCACGTTGCATGCTATGCTGACGGCTTTTGTATACTGCAACAGACCAGATAAGGCCAATAGAAGAGGACTTTTTAAGTCTGTTTAGTTTGGGCAGGTATGTAATCATTTCTTTTGCAATGGATATGTCTACTAATTGTATTTAATCTGGCTGGAAAAAAGGTTTGGCTTCTTAACACAATTAATGACACCATGAAGTAACAGCAGGGAGCCTGGAACTCAGGCACTGCTGTTGTTCATCTACATAGTATATAATAGTCCCTAGATAATTGAGAGAAGACTATAAGACATCCCTGTGTTTATTTGTGCAAAGCACGCATCCATACGTTTCCTTTATGTGTCCATTTTTATTGGTATGTCAGTCTTGGACGCCAAGTTCCTGGGAGGCAGGGACGGTATCTATCCAAAGCACTGCTCATCCCCCAGCATGGCGCCACAGACAAATAAATGTTTAACACAGCAATAAAAAGTTGATGATGATGATGTAGTGAAATAAGCACGCATGTGCCTGACAGAAAATCAGTCCTAAAGGGCTTTGCCACCACTGCCACCATTGACCAGCCCACCATTACCTTTAGATCCTCCTCTTGGAGCTGTTCGATGTACTCCAGCATCTGCTCCTTCTCCTGCTCCCGCTGCTCAGCAAGCAGCGATCGTTCTTCCTTGTTCTTTTGCATCTGTTCCACAATGTGCCGTCTTCCTCTGGGAGGGAACAGGACCACAGTGTCTTAGAAACCAAGGATGTCTTGTCCCTCTGCTTCAACCTCCATCCACATAATCCCCCACAATGTGAGGCAACACGGTAACAATTTGACAAATGCTCCTAAACAGCAATAAGCTTCATGAGCCCAGACCAAAGTCCTTCCTTAGGGTGTCCTAGGGGGTTGGTCTTCTCTTTTCTGAGCTCCTGGTTCTGGGGCTCACCCTTCTTGAAATTCATTTTCTTCATTTGTTTTCCAAAAAGTGCACCCCACATTTTGGTATACCTTCTCCCTTCCAGTATGTAACCAGTTACTGTTGAGTTGATTCTGACTCACAGCGACCCTACGTGTGTCAGAGTAGAACTGCTCCAGAGGGTTTTCAATGGCTGCGATCTTTTGGAAGCAGATCACCAGGACTTTTTTTCTGAGGTGCCTCTGGGTGGATTTGACCCAACAATCTTTTGCTTAGTAGCCGAGCACTTAACTATTTCCACCAACCAAGGATATCCCAGTATGTAAAGAGCTCCTGAAATCCTCCCATCTCTGAAGTCTGGTTTGGCCTCAATATAAGGACCAGTTCAGATCATTAAAACTGCTACTGAGGCAGAGATTTTTCCATCATTGGAGCTATTTATGCAGAAGTTGGATAAATGCTTAGCCATTAAATAAACTTGTGCTAAGAGCCTATTACAGTCTATCAGGTACCTACCAGAAGTAGAGAGACGAATGGGACAAGAGAACAAAATTCAGTTGGGAAGAGAGAAATGTCATTCAGTGTGGTACAAGGGCTATTTATAGAGGTAATTCACGTGTTTATGGCTGCTGTTCTAAACTTGGAACACCATGAGTCTATAATTTACCTGTTCTGGGACTTGTCCTTTTCTGCAAAATAAAGAGGAGTAAATCTATTCATTCTAGCATTTATTAATCACCCACTACAGGTCAAACAGAGCCCTGGTGGCACAGTGGTTAAGAGCTCAGGCTGCTAACCAAAAGATCGGCAGTTCAAATCCCCCAGCCACTCCTTGGAAACCCTATGGGGCAGTTCTACTCTGTCCTATAGGGTTGCTATGAGTCGGAATCAACGGCAACGTGTTTGGTTTGGTTTTTCTCATCTTTTGGTACAGGCCAAACAATGTTAGGCACCGGAGCTACAGGAATGAATAAGACAGGGACCCTGTCTTCAATGAGTCCACAGCCTAGGGAGGGTCACAGAGGCACACGGAAAGAGAAAAATGTAGACCAAAATTCAAATCACAAATAAAAGAAAAAAGACCAGACTTGCTGGTCTGACAGAGACTGGAGAAACCCAGAGAGTATGGCCCCCGAACACCCTTTTAACTCAGTATTGAAGTCACTCCCAAGGTTCACCCTTCAGCCAAAGATTAAACAGGTCTATGGAGCAAACAGCCCAAGTGAGGAACGGGCAAACAATAACACAGATAAGGAATGTGCATTGTAGTGCAATCATGTATATAAGACTAAATGGGCACACCAACCCAAAAGCAAAGATGAGAAGGCAGGAGGGGACAGGAAAATTGAACGAATGGAAACAGGGAACCCGGGGTAGAGAAGGGGAGAGTGTTGATATATCGTGGGGTTGGCAACCAATGTCACAAAACAATTTATGTATTAATTGTTTAATGAGAAACTAATTTGCTCTGTAAACTTTCACGTAAAGCACAATTTAAAAGACATATTAAAAAATGAAATAAAAAAAGAATTCCAAAAAAAAAAGTTCCATGATTCCACGAATCTCTTTGTAAAGGTTTTGAGATAATAATAGCCATCACCTATTGTTGTCGAGTTGATTCCGACTCATAGCGACCCTATAGGACAGAGTAGAACTGGCCCATAGGGTTTCCAGGGAGCTGCTGGTGGATTCCAACTGCCAACCTTTCGGTTGGCAGCCGAGCTCTGAACCACTGCACCACCGGGGCTCCATAATAGACACCGGTAATCATCACTTCTCATCTCTTCCTCTTTGCTAGTTTACGTGGACCTAAAGCTACACGGAAATGAGTTAGAGAGGGAGATGCCAAAACTGCCTCTTTACCGGATTCTTTCCTCTCTCCTCTTCCTATCCAGTTCCTCCTGCCTTTGAATGGATTTCTGCCGCTCCACTTCCATCATCTGATCCAAGCGCTTCTCCTCTGTTTCCAATTCTTTTTGGATCAGTCGCTTCTCCAGGATTTGGGCATCCCGGATAGCATGGCACTTGGCATTGAGGATGATCTGGGGAATGGAGATGAAATTGTGACACTAGATCTGGGGGCAGAAATAGGGAGGGATGCAGTGTCAGGGTGTGGAAGTTTGAAGGGGAAAAAATAGAAGCAGAATACTACAGAGTGTGCTAGAGATGCACATGGCTGCTTAGAAGCCCAGAAAAGCAACTTGTCCTACAAGGTACTAGAGTCTGTGCAAGGAGAGGCCCAGAATAGTGTCTTTCAGGGCACTGGGTCATCATCTTTTGGGGGTCATGGATCAATCACCCTTTGGAAATCTGATGAAAGCTATGGGCTCAATAAAATTCACTTACATATATACACACGGAATTTCCATACAACTTCAGAAGCTCATGGTAGCTCTTAAGGATCCATGACCTTGAGGTCCCCTAAGAGGGATCATGAACCTCAAGTTAAGACCCCCTGCTCTGCTCCTCAGGGAAACTAAAACTCTCTTGCAGCGGCCAGGCCACTAGTTTGTGAAGCTGGAAGAGCCCAGCATGACACTAGAGGGGATGAAAAATCGGGGGCCCATCAGCAAGAACTAAGAAGTAAAAGTTTTGGAAAACAAAAGGAGGAATGAGTAGAGAAGATTTACCTGAGAGATAGAAATCCAAGAGGAAGGAGCTGGGGAGTCAGCATTTTTTCATTTGGTGGGGATATGAGCCACATGCAAATATATTGCAAAATAGAATTCAAATGAGCCTCTGGTCTCTGTGCTCTCACCTAAAGGAGGCACTTGGGCACTTCATAAAGAATCCAACGACCTGAACCACCATATGTGGCCACAATTAAACCAGCAGGATAAAAATAAAACTAATACCCTCATAGTTATTTATCAATCCATGGTCCAAAAGGCGGATCTCCCACTTATTAGCTTATTTAACTCTGCCAATAATTCCATTTAGTAGTTTTACCATCCTAGTTTTTCAGATATAGAAAACGAGCCTCAAGGAGGGCAAGTGACTTGCTCAAGGTCACACAGCTAGTAAGTGGCAAAGTTGGCCATCCCTCTGATCATGGCAACTCCCGTGGAAGTGCATCTGTCACCCGCCAGCCCCTCACCTCTCACCCCTCATCTCACCAGCTGGTGGCAATGCTGTCCAGTGTGAGAGGAAGAGGAGGGCAGAAGCAAGGGGAGGCACAGTGAGTGGCAGTGAGTCCTCAGAGGGAGGGAAGAAACGTGTAAGTGTCCACCTTGCTCATGTCCTTGAGCTCCTCTTCCTGCTCCATCCGCAGCTTGTTGGCTCTCTGCAGGAGGTTCTGGGCCCTCTCCTTGGCTACCTCCTCCAGGTCGCTGAGCTTCTTGTTGTTCTTGCACACCATTTCTTTCTGTTTCATGATTTTCTTGCGCGTTGTCACTGCATCCTAAGGGAGACCAGTCTGGATCCGTGAGGGATTACTCCCTGTGCTCTGTGCCCTGGGCACTAGCCTGGCAGCTGCAGGTGACCCAATATGACTTCTGCCTCATTTCACCATGCCATCAAAATGCCCTGCTCCCCCCCAGCCACTCCCACATCTCAGATATGTCTCTCTGGCCTCCATTCTGCAATATACACATTCACTCCCTGTTTCGGGGTCCCCTACCTAGAGTTCTGGCCTCTCCCTATTTTCCACTCTGCCCCCCGTCTGCAGAGATCAGGGCTGAAGGAGGTTAGCTACCATGATGGCTTCCTTCTCCATCTTGAAGGCCTGATCTTTGGCCTCGAGTTCTTCCCTGGTCAGGACGTGGGATGCCCATTTGATCCGCTCAAACTCCTCGGGGCTGATGATGAGGGATTCCCCAGAGGGGTCCTCTGTGGGAACACTGACACAAGGAATGAACAAAGTTAGGGAGAGAGCAAGCTCCTAGCACCATGCTTCAGGCTTCTCTTTCCCTCCCTCATTAGTGCCAACCCTCCGGCTTGGATGCAGCCATTGTCAAGAAAGGCTGCCAACCGTGCTGTGGATCCACCGGGAACGAACAAGGGGTCCCAGATAAGGGTGAAGTAACATCCCATGTTAGAAAGAGACATTCTAAGTATTTTAAAGGTCCAGCTCATATGTTACCTTCTCTGTGCAGCAGTGCGTGGCCCTTCTCCACTCCCTCCCCACATATACGCATACACCACCCCCCAGGTCCAATCACTTCCTCCTCTGAACCCCGTTGTCCTTTGTTCCTACTGCCTATATTATCGGCCAATAATGCAGTATCTGTTTCCTTGGCTAGATTACAAGCTCCCTCAGGGCACAGGCTTTGTCTTAACCATATCGGTAGCCTAGTCTCTGGCACACTGCTTGACACAGAGTGAGAACTCAAAATAAAGCTGCTGAAAGGAACTTTAAAAACAGATTATTTCTCGAGAATGACATAAAAAGGGCAAGGAGACGCCAGACAAGGTTGAAATGGATGCCAGCAAGAAACCTAAACATCCTTGCCCTGAGAGAGGCTTTGAACCCTAAATATTAATTGAAATCTCTGATCAACAACAGTTGGAGACATGTCTATAGACCTCTCCTTTCTAGCTGCGCAACGCATTCGACAACCCAATAACTAATTATAATGATTACAAACAAATGACATACATTAAAGATGGGTGAGAGAGAAGCCGGTGGTGGGGTGGAGTGAAGCTTCTTCTGGGTGAGGCAATTTAACAGGTATACCCGGCAACAAGATGCAGACAGTCTGAGACAGGAAGTAAAATCTCATCCAATAAAACCGGGGGACAGGGGATTCCAGCAAGTACACGGAATGAGTGAGTGACTTGGGGATTAACCACGATCTTGTAATTCACTGAGTGGCGTGGCCCAAAACAGCCTTGGATCTGGAAGTACCAGGAAGGATCTGAATTAGAGAAGAAAGCTCCTGCTGCTTTCAGCAGCCCTGAAAAATGACCAGCCACTTCACCTCTGATCTGTTCAGGACACAACCTGAACTCCAAGAAGGAACCTTTTCTGAGACCCCAGGGGTGGCTGCTGATCAGATCTGGCCGCATGATGCCAGTCTGACCAGACAGTGCTCAACCCGGGACTTTGGTCAAGCCAAGTTCCCAGAGCTGTGTCCCAGCTGTGCCTCCCTGGCTCATGACACGGGCAGCATTTTCTGGGAATTGTGGTGCAAATGGTTAAGAGCACAGCTGCTAACCAAAAGGCTGGCAGCTGGAATCCATCAGTTGCTCCTTGGAGTGAGTCGGAAGTGACTTGATGGCAATGGGTTTGGTTTGGGGTTTTTTTTTTAGTGGGTGGAGCTAGAGGAGAGAGAAGAGTTACAGAGAGTTAAGCATTACTGCAAGAGCTAAACGACTGAGCTGGCTCATTTCACATTGCTGGGCTAGGCCTACACCCCACGGGAGGGGCCCAAGCAATGGGCAGCTCCAGTCAGGAACCCCAGGAACCATTGTGAATTTCCTCTTCTGGCCTCAGAGTCTGGGAAGAAGCCAGTGGACGATTAGGCATCTGGTCCATTTCCCTTCCCTTCAGATTCTTCATGCAGCAGAAAGGAACTGACAACGGGATCATTTCCTTTTACCAAGTGGACTAAGGCGACTGAGGGAAGGGACCCACTGAGCACTCTGCCCCTTAAGTCCCACCAGTAACCAAATCAGTTGCCATCGAGCAGATTCCAACTCATGGCAATGCCATGTGTGTCAGAGTAGAACTATGCTCTATAGGGTTTCCAATGACTGAATTTTCAGAAGTAGATCACCAGAACTTTTCTCCAAGGTGCCTCTGGGTGGACTCGAACCTCCAACCTTTCAGTTAGCAGCCAAGCACGTTAACTGTTTGCACTACCCAGGGAGTCCTTAGGTCCCACAGCCAGACGAAAGGAGGAGAAAGAAACTGGGAATAAAGGGCAGTAACGATAATAGATACAAGAGGGCAAGAAAGAAGAGAGGCCAAGATGGAGAAGAAAGAAAGAGAACCATGGAACAAAAAGGAGAAAATGTATGGGAAAGGAGTGGGGAATGGACTGAGAGAATGAAACCAAGCCGGTTCCCATCTTCCTGCAGAGATCCTCAACAGAAGCACTGCCTGGGCACAGAAGGGCAGGGGCTTGCCCTAGTACTCACATGAGCTCCCGGACCATGTCCCGAGTGATTAGCTGAATGGTCTCTGGCTTGTGGTCCATTCTCGGTGCAGTGAGAGATCTCTGAATGGCATGCTTATCTCGGAGCAGCACAATGGGGCTGTCACTGGGGGCCTGTGATAAGGGCTATGGGGTGGAGATCGACAGCTTAGAAGCTGATCACCCCACTTTCTGCTGGCAAGTCCTAACTTCAAATCTGTCCTGGGACTTCCACCATCTCCAGACTGCAGGATGGCCAAGAGTAGCCAGGGCCCTCGGAAAGCAGCCTGGTGCTCTCCATCTGCACATGGCTGATGTATTCGGTACTGACCGGCTCCTCTGAGCCTAAGACCTCTCTATAACTTGCACAGATAAACACTCCAGAAGGGCTGGGGAGGGAGAGGGTTGCAAGTGTGTGTGTATCCCTAGTCTAAAACCACTAGGAAGGAAAAGTAAATTTTGGTCTCTAGGTTCTCCTCGGATACCCTGGTGTCATAGTGGTTAAGAGCTCAGCTGCTAACGAAAAGGTCAGCAGTTCGAATCCACCAGGTGCTCTTTGGAAACCCTATGGGGCAGCTCTACTCTGTCCTATAGGGTCGCTATGAGTCAGAATCAAACTCAACAGCAGTGGATTATTTGGTTTGATTAGGATCTCCTCTTTCCATGATTTATGAAAAAAGAAATAATTCTCTCACTTAGACCCCACTGTGGGTTTGAAGCAATACAATTTATTATAGATTGATCCAATCTATGATGTTAAGAATTTTTAATCCTTCCTAATGATTAATGGAGCCCTGATGGCACAGTGGTTAAGAGCTCAGGCTGTTAACCAAAAGGTCGGCAGCTTGAATCCCCCAGCCGCTCCTTGGAAACCTTATGGGGCAGTTCTACTCTGTCCTATAGGGTTGCTATGACTGAGATCCCCTAAAAAAGCCATATTGAGGGAATTCGAAATAGCTAAATGGCCTGGTGGAGACCTGTCCTTAAAATTTTGGGTCGTGAGGCCATCAGTGAGTTAGAATTCAGCAAGAAGAGTATGGGTTCGGTATATAATTTTTCATTTTTTTTTTTTTTTTCTGCAAGGGAAGGCATTAGCTAACAAGAAAATGAAATCTCTTATTTCAGGAAAATGTTAAACACAGAAAAATTTTTTTTGTCATTGATGCTCTAACTACACGCCTGACTGGAGGCAAGCGGACGGCCTCAGTGGAGATCCCATCCTATCCTGAGAACCTGACTTTGCATAGCCGGTTCCCCTGAGTGCTGCTGCCACCTGGTGCCTGGTCTGGGCTTCCAGGCGGGCACAACATCGTCATGTCACAGGCACTTCCGCCCCCTACTGCCAGTTGAGAGCCTTCCTTGATTGTCACCCAGCAGTAAGGTCAAAGAAACTGGACCAAGGACTGGCATTTGCTGCCGGCCCCCTTTTGCTAGCCAGCATGACTACTCATGAAGACCTTGGCCATTTCCAAAGCTATCTTTGCTTTGACTAGAAAACTTTCATGGACCCAAAACAAAAAAGTCTGTGAGTGAAATTGCATTCCTTTAATTCCTTCCAATTAAGAACACTGCTGTGGAGAGGGAGTCTTCTAAATGGAGAAAGATGCCCATCTCGAGACCTCTGGAAAGTCTTTTTCAGTTCCTAGTGAGGATGGTATGGAGCAGGGATAGACACCAACTCTTCTCTCCCCAACCCCGCCCTGCTGCCAGAGGGGTCTCAGTCTCCACCGGCATCTCTTTCTTTTCTCCTTCTCTTTTCTGTCTCTCTTAATGTCTCACTGTCTCTTTCTCTGTCTCCCCTTCCCTCTCTTCCTTTGCACCTATGGACTTTATATGAACCAAAAAGGAACTCCCCAGCTCTCCTTTTCTAAATGAAAAGAGTTGCCGACCCCTTAATTTGGATGACACTTGCAAATAAATTCCCCCAAAGCTAAGTGATTGTTTTGTTCAGCAACTGGGAAAGGAGGCTGATTTTGTATTTTACCCTGATGCTATTCTTGGATGGAGGGGGAAATATGTTGCTCAGTGTCTGTAAGATTGGCCCAAAAAACAAACCAAACTCATTGCCATCGAGTTGATTCCAAGTCATAGTGACCCTATAGGACAGAGTAGACCTGCCCCCATAGGGTTTCCAAGGACAGCCTGGTGGATTCGAACTGCCAACCTTTTGGTTAGCAGCCAAGCTCTTAACCATTATGCCACCAGGGCTTCTAAGATTGGCCCAGTGTTCCTCAAATGTTTTCATCATGGCTCTGTCACTTAGCAGCTATTGAGCTCCGTGCAGCTGAGCCTCTCTTTTGACATTGCAACAGATTTTAAATGCTGTGCAGATATGAGGATTTCCGGGGTGGAGGAAGCCAGGCACCCCTGTTTACATAAACCCCACTGGATCTACTGGTTAGAGAGGCATGACTTGCCCGGTGCTAGCTTTGTCCTGAGCACTGTGACTTTCAGGTAGCAGCTACCTAGAGGGACTTGGTAAGGGTTACCTTGATCACTCCGAAGAGGTTCTCATCCACCTCAGAGCTCACAGCTTTGGTCCGATAGCGAGTTTTACTTCTTGACAGGTTGGAAGTGGTAGAAGCGGAGCTCAGGATGCCACTGGTGCTCAACGGCTGGAGGAAGAGGCAGAAAGTTTTGGGTCATCAGTACTGACGTCTGACCCCTGGGCAGAGTAAACGCTTCTCTAGCCCATGCTGAGGGAAAGTGGGTGGGGTGTCAAAACACCACTTAGGAAAAGCACCTGGGTAAACCTTGAACTCTAGGGAGCAAAGCAACAGGCAGACAACGTTCCCACAGATGCAGAGGGTTCTTTGGGTGGGAGCAAGACACACTAGCTCTGTGAGAAGGAGCATATCTGTAGTCCCTGAAGCTGAGGAAGGCCAAGTCGGTCACACGGTAGGAAGGAAGGATGAAGGATAGGGGACGGCAGGAGGAGAGGAGCAACAATTCCACCTCATTTCCTGCTGGGTCCCAGTTTTCCACAAAGATAACCTCTTGTGAGGCAATGTGGATGTGTTTACCTGGAACTGTAGCGTCCTCTTCACCTCCAAACTTCTCCACCTGAGCTCCAAGCCCCCTTCACAAATAGCACTCCCATTTGACCACCTTCCTGTCTCCACAATGTGACAAGGTTATGGTAGGGACCAGAGATCTAAAGGATGGACAAGCACCTTGCCCACTGCTTGGCACATGGGTGGTGTCTAATAAACTTCAGTGGGTGGATGTTGAATGATTACCAGATACAATCAGGTAAACTAGTTCGTCATGTCCACAATGTGGCTCTTTCATTCCCGTGACCCCTTTAGTACATATTAGTCATTTTCTTAGCCATCCAGTATCTTCCTATGTTTGGGGAATTCCCAATCTAATGAGCTGTGGGAGACAGGGCTCGTCTCTGACTATAGAAGCTGAAAACACCAGGTCTTTTCCTTCCTAGACTGGGCAAGGGACCTAGGCTTAGCCAATCAGATCACCCAGTCCTGACAATGAATAGGGAACTTGTGATGGAAAAAGCAGGAACAAGAAAAACCTTTCTGGCAGTGTCAGCTTTACCCAGTGTCTGGGGGCAAGGCCGATAAGGGTACCAGCAACAGCACCCCAGGTCCAAAGCTGGCAGTGTTGGAAGTCCAACATCAGAGATCCTTGCCAGCCCAGTTCTAGGCGGTGATTTTGGCCTTGGTTCTGGCTGCAGAGCCTCCCTTTGTTCCGGCCTATTTTCCAAGCCTAGTTTTGCAGCTGTGGTGTAACGTCTGTGAGCTCTCCAACATCCTCTTAACACATTCCTTTCTACTTAAATTGGAGTCTGTCTCTGTGGCTTATAACCAAGAACCCTGGCGTATTCAGTCTCCATTCCCAAAGGTCAGTCCAGCTTCAGCTCAGCCCCAAGAGTAGAAATCTGTCTCCAAGAAGTAGTTTTTGCAAGGACTACTGGGTGACATTGGGTGCAATATAAAGCTGATTCAAACCTCACTTTGGAGGAGCCTAAGCCTCCCCAGCTCTCTAAGCTGGGGTGTCTTGGGGCAACAGGCTAAACCCATTGGATATTTCCAAGTCTGAGAATCAAAAGCCATCAAGGGGACAGGATGAACAGGGAAATGTACCTTGTGCTCCTGGTCACTAAATACTGGGCAATGTTTTAAAGCATGTCTCAGTGACCTGCCATCACCCCAACAAGACACCCCCAGCACCTGTCCCACCTGTTTCAGGTTTTCACACTTACTTGGGCAATTATTCTCCAGCTGGCTCTGCTGCATGTCATCAGCACTGCTGTGTGTGCCCTTTCCCTCCCTGCCTGGCACAGCCAGCAAAAGTGGCTTACGGAGGGAACTTCCCTTTACATCCTCAGTCAGCCCCAATGGAGCAGGGCAAAAAAGCTCAGATTTATTAGACGGTAAATATAGCAGCCCTGAGGATGCCTAATAACAGGGTTATTGGATGGTGGTGGTGAGCAATTGTTCCCCTTCCCACTAAAAATGAGGTAACAGGAAATGAAGAGAAACTGCAGAAGGTGGGATTGAGGCTAAGCATTAGGAATAACTGCCAAGATGGAAAACACTGGATCATGAGAGACGGTGTGAGTTCTGTGAATAATTAAGGAAGAAGGCACAGTGCGTGGCACAGAGGGGCTCAATATATGTTTGCTGAGGAATGAATGAAACCAAGGAAGCTGCAGCCCAGATACGTTCAGAAGAAGCCTTGCCTGGCTCCACAGGGCACTGCACCACTCCACACCGTCCATATCCCGGAGCTGCTCTGCACTGTGGAAAATAAGGGATGGGAAAAGGCTTTGAAGTACAGATGCAAAGTATTATTATTGTTTTGCACTTGTTTTTCTGTTTCTTTCCCATGGCTCCTACGACTTTTTGCTTGGGCTCAGTGTCCACCAGGCTGCAGGTTCCTCCAAGGCTGGGGCTGCATCTCTTCCTTCCTGCACCCTTGGTATCAAGGTCAAGAGGAAGTCACAACAAGAGATACTTGACTGCCTGAGCCTAGAAGTCAGAACAGAGGAAGGGAAGCAGATGACCACAGAAAAGTGGTCACTGGGCAGGGCAGAGGGAAGCACTGCATCCAAGACTGAGTGGCTGAGAAACCTTATTTGGGAAAGGCTGACTCTGAAGCCACAAGCCTTACATCAGGGTTAGAATAACCAGTTTTGCCAAGATTAACAAGATGGAATTGGGCAGTCACTGTCTACAACTACTAGGAAAAAAGAAAAAAAAAAAAAAAAAGAACCAAGCAGAAATAGAAAGTTAGATCCTTCTGGGCCAGAGACAGTGGCCAAGAGGTTCTTTCGGGTGATGAAGGGCTGGTTTTATTTCTTGCATGACCAATAAATATTCCCAAGAAGCTGAGCAATGTCAGCTCTAGAGAGAGAAGTATGCCTATTCCTATTTGGTGGGCAACAGCTCTTGAAGGGAAGGAAGAGAGACTAACAAAGACTGGCTTTTAGAGCTGAGGCAGCAAAAAGGATTGAGGAAGATGGAGACTGAGGACAGATAAAGATGCCAGGCCTGTTTCAATAAACCATCGCAACCCAGGGTCAGGAGAATTCAGCCACAGCTAGGGGTTCTATAAGACCCTGACACAGAAAGATTAGCTGGTCAAGTGGATGATGACGTAGACTTACAGTCATTGATGTTGGACAATCTCCATAGCATATTAAGCTTTAAAGAAAGCAGATGACGAGAAACCTGTAACTATGTAAAAAGGTTCGCAGGGAGGGTATGCACCCAGAACGCATTACTGAGAGAATGTTCCTGGAAATGTTTAACAGAAATTCCAGGTGAATTTTACCATCTTAAGATACGTCTTGTATTGAATAATTTTCTGTAATATGTTACTATTTTCGTGACCAGAAAAAAATAACATAATCATTTTTATTTAAGAACAAAATAAAACAGAAGGCCTGGTGCCCTGGCTCTGGAGACAGGAGAAGTCAGCCCTTAAAAGACCACAGCACTGTATAGTCAGGGATCCAGGATGTTTAGCTCAAATCCAGCAAGACAAAGCTGGAACAGGTCTGGAATAGATTGGTGTGGAGTTTCCTTGACGTAATTGCAACACCTGTCAGCTGAACAAAGACAAAGACATATCCTTTCCTAGACGTCCTCTCCGCCCTAGAATCTAGTTCCTTTTTCTGATACAAGTTCACTGCAAGCTGGCAAATTCAGGCTCCAACCTCTTGGCCTGATTCTATTTCCTTCTCTGTGGGCCTTGTTGTCTTGGTGATCTAGTGCTGCTACAACAGAAATACCACAAGTGGATGGCTTCAACAAACCGAAGTTTGTTCTCTCACAGACTAGGACGCTAGAAGTCCAAAGTCAGGGCATCAGCTCCAGAGGAACACTTTCTCTGTCGGCTCTGGAGGAAGCTCCTTGTCATCAGTCTTCCCCTGGTCTAAGAGCTTCTCAGGCGCAGGCACCCTGGGTCCAAAGGACACACTTTGCTCCAGGCACTGCTTTCTTGGCGGTATGAGTTCCCCCTTGTCTCTCTACTCGCTTCTCTCTTTTATATCTCAAAAGATATTGGCTAATCTTGTAGATTTCATCAACATAACTGCCCATGATTCATCTCATTAACATCATACAGGTAGGATTTACAACACATAGGAAAATCATATCAGATGACAAAATGGTGGACAATCACACAATACTGGGAATCATGGCCTAGCCAAATTGATACACATATTTTTGGGGGACACAATTCAATCCATGACACTTGGTAACTAAGAAGTTGGGGATTCCCATGCACCAGGCACTTTGCTTCCTTTTAACTCTGAGTTAACTCTTTCCTCTCCTGGGAGCAGGTTGGCCCACTGAGGGATGCCACCTGAAGATGACATTCTATTCAGTACCGAGGCCCCCATCCCTCTTTCTGGAGGATGATGTCATTCATTGTTTTTGTAAGAGTTCCAGCAGTCTGCCTAATCATGAGCGTCCCTCCCACCACTGCCTCTCCTTGCTCCTCCAAACACTGTCAAAAGCTAGTGAGTAGCAATACACATACACACCTGACCTGCCAGAAGAGCCAAAACCCTTTCCTGTCGAGTCTGACTCATAGCGACCCTATACAACAGGGTAGAACTGCCCCATAGGGTTTCCAAGGCTGTAATCTTTACTAAGGCAGACTACCACATCTTTCTCCTGTGGAGCAGCTGATGGGTTCGAACCACTGCCCTTTCGGCTAGCAGCCAAGCGCTTAACCTCTGCACCACCAGAATCTCTTTCCAGAAGTGCACACATCACTAATTTGATCTATTGCTTCTCAGAGGTACCCATTCCCGCCCAAGGGATTTCAGAAGGCCTTGGTCAGCCAACCAAACCTCTGCCCTGATCGGCCCCTGGCTGGGGACTTCCTGATTTGGGTGTTCTGCAGCCCACAAGTCTAACCCAGGGGAACTCACTGATTAAGGAGGGCTTGGGAATATGTAGGAAGTCCCTGGGTAGCACAACTGGTTAAGTGCTAGACTACTAACCAATAGGTTGGTGGTTCAAACCCACCAACAGGCACCTTGTAAGGCCTGGTGATCTGCTTCCAAAAGGTCACAGCCTTGAAAACCCTGTGGAGCAGTTCCACTCTGAATGCACGGGGTCGCTGTGAGTCAGAGTCAATT